ACGAAGTTCTCAGTATTCTTTGATCAGGATAAAGACTCACGGGCTGGCTATGGGTAGCCAGTGCACAATCAACTACTACATAAATGTTTTTAAATGTCCAGCCATGCTCTGCTAACATGAAAAAAATATCTGGACAAGCCTGGCCCCCGACAGCCCCATCTTCTGTTAAGGGTAAAGAAGCTCCAGTTCATACATGAGAAATTTCTAAAGACTGGGTAATCTTTTTATTTATGTACGTGTCGCTATCTGCTTTTTCCTGCTCTGAAAATCTTACAGGTGTGTGACCACCTAGCTGTTTCTGTGATGTGATAATCATTTTTTGAGCCGTGAACTAAGGCAGTTGGAGCAGAACCGGAGCTGTCAGAGCCTCCCTTTATCAACCTGGCAGAAAAATCCCACCGTTTTGCTGCCAGATACAGGCGTGTCACACACGACCTGACCGCAGCCAACCCCAGGGTAAAGCTGAGGAGGGTCCTGCGACCTGCTCCGTGGCTGCAAAACCACCCCGTGCACCCCCAGAGCTCTCCTTGCTGGCAGCAGGTAGGGACCACCCCGTTCGTCGGAGCAGCATCACCCCCAGCGCTAAACGCTGCGATGCTCAAACGCTGTTTTGCACCACAGCTGGTCCCAGATGTGGGGCGGTGGGGGGCAGAGGAGAGGGGACAGCCTCCTGGTGATGCCAACCCCCCCTCACCTCCCCACAGGGACACTCTGCCCTGCCCCAGTCCTGGGGACCCCCAGCTACTACTGGGCATCAGCAGAGTTTGAAAGTCTGAAGAGTTTAACCATTAAAAAAAAAAAAAAAAAAACAAAACAAACCAAAAAACCCCTAAGCTCTTGATCACAGCTGTATCTTGCGGTGCTGTTCCCAGATAACAGCTTCACATTGTCTTCAGGTTTCATTTTCAACCAGGCTTTAGAGGAAATACTCATGGGGATGCCCTCGGCACCTGAGGAGATGATGCAAGCCCACCCATGCATCTCAGTGGAAATGTCCAGCTGGCCACCAAGTCAGTGAAAAAGGAGGAGCAGGGATGTTTCCTCCGGGATGTGTGACCAGCACCGAGCTGGGCAGCCGGGTCACAGCCCCCGTCCTGCTCCCAGCCCTCTGCTTTGTCAAAATGAAAAAAAATGAGCATTTCTATACCCGTCCAACATCAGACTTTGGATACAGCTTTCAGGAGAATGAAAACTTGCTCCAGGACTAGGTCTGAAGTAGAAAACTGTATAGAAATATACATGCAATAGGAGCACGGGGAGTTCAGGAGAGGAAGGGGTTAGCTCCAAGCTGCACAGAGCCTACTGAGCTTACAAAATTAGTTTTACCAGGGTTGTACAGCAGCTTCCCACCTTTCAGGCAACTATGACTTACTGGATTGGTGACTTTTTCACTGAAAACATTAGAAGTGTTTTCTGGTTTAGGGTTTTGAAGGCTGGTGATTTTTTTTTTATTCTTTGGGGCAGGGGTGTTTTGTTTCTGGTTTGTTTTTTAGGGATCTGGATCAAAACGACTGCCAGAAAACACACGGGCTTTTGAAGCTTGTGGAGATCACACCTCCTAAAGGCAGTTTATGGGCACAGTGAAATGTCAACCAGAATAAGGATATCTGCTTGTAAAACCTTTCTCCAGCCACCAGTTTCATATTTATAACCAACAATTAGCTGCTGGGGGTGATGCAACCCTCTTGTACCCGCAGTTAGTGAGGAACAGATAAGCAATATCTGCTGAAGAGGAAGGGCTGGGGATTCAGCAAACAGCCAGGTCTGGGAGAGCAAGGCTGGCTTCCTCCCCTGGGTGGTGGTGCACATTTCAGGGGGGGGAAAAAAAACCCCTGGCCTATGACAGTTTCCCAGATGCTTCAATTTGCTGGTTATGGAAGTGTTTTGCCAGGACTGTGCTTTGTGACGAAGGGCAGGGAGGAGCCTGTAGCTTGGAGGAGTGAACAAAACAAGAAACACAATTTAGCACGTGAACATGTTGCTGGTTTAGGTTAGCGATTGGTCCCAGCAGCAGACAAGGAACACGGGTCATCTGCCAGCACTGGGAAGGGAAGTGAAAGAGGCAGGATGTTAAACTCGAGGCAGAAAGAGGGAGGGCAGTTAGAAACAGGACAACCTGAAGGGGAAAAAAAAAAAAAACAAAAAAAAACCCCAAAAAAACAACAAAACAAAAAAACAAGACAAAACAAATAAACAACAAAAAAAAACCAAACAAAAAAACAAAACAAAACAAAAAAAAACCCAAACAAAAAACCCAACCAAACAAAACTAAACCTTCATGGGTTTGCTTCCAGCGCTGACTGAAGCAGCACGCTCGCGCGAGCGGGCCGGAACACTGCTTCACTGCAGAGACACCCCCAGACAGGGAAAGACCACAGCAACAAGACTGTAAATTTAACAATTTATTGAACTTGAAATGATGTAGCACAGAGGGGCAACAATGGCTCAAGTGTTCATTAACGAAACGCCCCAGAATGTTTCACATACAGTCTTAATACAGCTTATACAGAGACAACTGGAAAAGTTGTAAAACACTCTCGAAGTAAGAAAGGGGGATTCACAGCCCTGTTTTAAGCCTTCATGTTCCCAAATATTGTCCTCCCTTGAACAACTTCATATCCTTCACGGCCCCAAAAAAAGGTTTATGTCCTTGGTGGCCACATCCCTCCCCCATCAAGTACAGAAGCAAATAACAGTAAACTTACGAGGAGAACTATACTTCAAAGTAGCCACAAGTCTTTGCATGAATCAACACATATCTAGAAAGACCGTTTGCTACATTACTACTTTTGAAAAGCTAACAAATGAATAAAGTTACAATATCGATACTTGAATTTGATTTCCGGTTAAAACCTGCTGAAGAAAATTGCCTCTAATACTTGTCTACATGTTTTACAAAACACTTCCAAAAGATATGAACATTAGTTTGTTGTTTTTTTATGACAAGGAGAACTGAAGACTTAAAAGTAGTCAAGTGAACTCCAAGTTTAGAGTGTATATAGGATTTTATTTAAAAAAAAAAAAAAAAAGAGAAAAAGAATTACTTTGGGCACAGTTTTTTGCCCTCAAACCCCAACAGGTTGGAAACCATTCTTAACCTATGGTTTGTTTTTTTTTTTTTTTTTCAGTCAACTGTAAAGGGCTATTACCTCCCTTTCAACCATATATGTTTTTATAAACTGAAGTGAGATTCACAGCTTCCACGAAGGAGATGTGCAAAGTTGCCCCTTCTCTGCATCAGTCATTTGCTTCAGATTTGTAGTAGTGTATATCCCCATCCAAGTTGCCACCACGGGCAACGTTTGTTTCTCTGAGTGAGCAGGCCAGTTTCACAGGAAAGGCAACAAATACAGTCAGACACAAATACAGCCCCTACTTCAACGGGCTCTCAAACCTTTGCTGAACAGGAACGTCAACTCCAGGGAAACGAGAGATATGTGCATTTACAGCACTATTTTGCAGCACGCAGGCTGCCTGGCACGCTCGCAAGGCTTCAGAAACGCTCAACGCAAGTGGGCAAAACCTTAAATTAAAGGCCTTTACAGTAGCTGGTCAGGTCTGATGATGACACGCAGTGCTGGGCGGCTAACCTCGAGCTGCAACGGGTACGCAGCCTGTAAACAGCAAAACGCGGCGGGCAAAAGAATTAAATTAGCTGTTATTTAATAACAGGGGCCTCAGTTATGCGGTGGTAGCCCGGCAGGTGGTCTCACAGCACGTCGGGACGGCTGCGGCAGGACCGGGTGTCCCCCCCCCCCCCGTGTCGGTTAACCTGAGATCCGGGCACGCGGTTGAAGAGCAACAGCACCGCCAGAACACGGGTCCCAGCACCGGGAGCCTTCACGCTCGTTCCAACCTGAGCAGCCGCCCCCGTTTCTGGGTTGAAATGAAAGCCGCGCCGCCGCGTGAACCGGGGCGAGTTCGTGGTGGGTCTGCCCCTGCACTCGCGCCGGGGCGGCCGCTCAGGACCGACCCCAGACCCAGACAAACGGGCCCCTTAACGGCGGGCGACAAACCCTTCCCTCGTTTCGCCCTTTGAAACGCGGAGGAGTCGAAACAGCCGCGCCAATCCAAGGGGCCCAAAGTCAACCTGGCTTCCGCCGGGCAACACCGATACAGCCTTGTCGTGCAACAGAAAAGGAGGGCGCCTTGCCCGCGCTCCCACCCTCACGAACGCAACGTCTACTGAATGCACGGATTTAAGGCAAAAATTACATCGCTCCCGTTTACCCCAAAGCATGTTTTCTGCGAGGCAAGCACTTTCCGGCTTACAGTGGTAATGCAACGGGGTTCTTCTGATGCTGCAGATAAAGTCTATCAGCAATACTACCGAAATTTTGGCAGAAATTCCAAAATCGGATTTGTAAACATAATGCTTCCCTTTTCAGTTGCCAGTATGTTGGAAAATACACACAGTACGAAACACAAAGATTTTGCTCCATTTGACCAAGTAACCTGCGTTTTCATGTGACAAAGTAAGCAATGGTTTACATCAAAACAAACAAAAGACCTGCATGAAATAAAAGCTTGTGCTGTTTGGTGATCACAGTATTTTATAATTAAATACATCTGTTCTTTGTTATATTCCTGGCACCCAGGACAAAAATCTTTAAATATATATTTCATGTAGGCAATAGCTTCTTTGCATATCTCTCTTCAAAAAAATACTTTATAGTGCTATATAAATAAGTGACCTACATGTTTAATTTTATAATCTTGCCCAAAAACTATATATCTGTTTCAATTTTGTAAAGTATCAATTTCCCCAGTATTATTAAAGCTGACAATCTATTGAAATGGAAATGCTCTCGTCTTCCACAACAGAAGTGGCAATTTTGTAGGAAAAACCTACGGCAACACTTATCAGTTGTTTTAACCTGAGCATTTGGCCTACTTAAGAGTAGCAGCTTTTTGTTTGGTTTGTTTGGTTTTGGTTTTTTTTTTTTTTTGTTTTTTTTTTTTTTTTTTGTTTTGTTTTTTTTTGTTTTTTTTTTTTTTTTTTTGTTTTTTTTCTCTCCCCACCACACATGCTCACACCCACACATCCTTGCACACGTACAGTACAAACACATACTCCCAGCCACTGACAGGCCACATAGTGCTTCCCAGGTGCTTCAGCAAAGGAGGAAGCAGTGCAGCTAATAATTTAACTCCACTAAATATACATAACCAAACACCTTAAGGCAACCACTGAAATGGGAGGTTTAAGTTGCAGGGGTGAGTTTCTTTTGTAACAAAACGTGCCATATACAGCACATATACATGCCTCTTTAAACCTCCAAAACAATGTGATTTTTTTTTTTTTTTTTGTGCAAATTTCTAAACCTTCTACCATTTAAGGCAAAGAGTTTGTATTAATAAGAAAAGTCAGAAAACAGTTTATCCAAAGGCATTTCGCTTTGCTACAATATTTTCTTAATATGTGCGCAACTTCGTAGTAGAGGTACCGGATCCCGAGTATCTACTAACAAACAATATTATTTAAACGAACAAACGTAACTCTCAAAGAAATGAAGGGACTTGAAGAAAGCAGCTTCAAATATTCATATAAGCAACATCAACAACAACAAAAGTAGTTAAATCTGCTAATACTGAAACTTCTGTAATGTAAAAGGTCAATACTAACTTTTAGAATCTTAGAGGAAATAATCTTAAGTTTTAAATAAGTAGGCTTTGGTTCATTCACATGTCCTGGTCAAAGCAGGAGAGTAGTGCTGTAACTTGGCTTGTTGTTCGTCAAATTCCCCTATTAGTCTCTTAATGTGGGACAGCTTGCTGTGGAGGTACTTGCATCTACACTTCTGTTCAAAGTAGCTGGGTCTAGCCTGTAAAGCGAAGACAGAAAGAAAACTATGGCGTGAAAACTCTTCTGCAGAGTTTAATATTTCACGTCCTTTGCTCACTTGAGTGAGTCTCAATGATTACTATTTCTGACCAATCTGGTGTTACACATACCTCTTTTAACTTTTGATACTCTTCTAAGACTTCCCCACAAAGCATCTTCAAGAAAAAAAACAAACATGAAGACAACATGAAGCACGTTTCACTACCACCAGAAAATGCAGAAATAGACCTCAAACCCCCCATATATCACCCAAGATCTGCAATAAACCTGTAAATAGGAAACAAATGGAGCACGTGTTTGAAGAGTCCTTTCGACAAATCACTCAAGCTCCTGCGTCTTCACAGACAGCTCAAATAGGTGGAGTCTGAGGGCTGAACAACTTTTTGCATGGTTTTGTCAAGCTTCAAAAATCAGAGCTAGCCCACGCAGGGCCAGAACCTGCCTGCAAATTATGCATGTTTCACTTTGATTGAGTAGTACCAGGGATTTTAAAATACTCCTGCTCACAAATACATTTGCAATCTGGCCAAAAACTAAATAAAAACCGACCAAAAATCCTCAGCGTGCCCACAGAATTAAAGAATTCTGGTACTGAACATGCGGAATTTGTATGTCCAAATCAGAGAAGCCTAGGCCAGAAGAATATCAGGTTTTTAACACCCTTCTCTGCTAAAATCACAGCTAGGATCAGCCACCTGGAAGATGAGTGAATTGTGGCTGTAGGTTTAGCTAGCTGTATGAAATCACGGGAAATAGAGGGTCAGGAAAGCTTTGGGATTATGCCTGCTGACTTCCATGAGCTTCTCCCTGCTCCATGTAAGAGCATCCCTCACCTCACCAGGGTGCTGGGGTGGCCAGCAAAGCCTGAGCCAGCCTGGCAATTCCAGCTCTGAGACCGGTTGCTCCGTCTCAGACATTGAGCCTGGCAAGTCTTTTAGAACCACGTCCATATAATTTAACAGATAAACATACTGAAAAGTTCTGCCTGTGCTGAAAATGTGGACTTTTAGAAGGGATAAGAGGGAGATGAAACAGCCTCCTCAGTTTTATCCTTCCTTACCTGATATTCTTTGGACCCTGGAGGGAGAAGCTGCCGTTGTGCATCAAGACTCACAAATTTCTGGCTGATACTCTCCATGTGAGCATACAAGTTCCTGTATTCATCATACTCTGCAGTGAAGTCATCCTTGTATCTCTGGCGCTGCTCGTATGAGACTATAGTGGTGTATTTTCTAATGGAAGAATAAGCACACGTGCAATTCTACACCAAAGGCACAGTGACTATCAAGTACAGACGCCCAGGCTTTAAGTCAATGAGCTATGTGACTGACTGCTGCTACAAGCAAGCACACGTGCTCCAGGAGAATGTATTCAGGTAATTACAGAAATCTACTGTATTTCTGTGACAGTTATTTGCTAATATTTTACTTGTTAGAGCTCTTATTCAGAAGGTGCACAAAAAAATTGTAGCATACTTAGAAAACTTAAGCAATCATTCAAATATAGGAGGACTAAGGACTAATAAATGCATCAGTTTCAGTGAGAGAAGAGAAACTGCTAGATCATAATGTCTTTATATGAAAGAATAGGTTTTAATTAGGTTATATTTACTTTTGAAAATTCACTTTCATTACATTTTTGGAAGGGACTGCATTTATGGGGTTGGATGCAGTTGGGTTTTTGGCAACATTGGTGCCTATCTAACATCAAACCATAGTTAACGATAAGGATTTATTATTTTAGTGTATGCCAGTCCCATTGCCATCCATTCACCTGAGGCACCTGCAATACAGCAACAGAAACAAACTGCAGAGAAATGTGAAACAACAACAAAAAAAAAACAAACCAAAAACACCACAAAACAAAACAAAACCAAACACGTCACCTCCTGAGGAGGGCAAACCCCTTAAATACTTAAAGCCACCAATGCGATTGAAACTTTCGTCATTCCCCTCTACCTCAAATCAACATGAGCGGGTTTAATAAGCTCATTATGCAAATCCAAGATGAAGAGGCAATGCGAATAACAGATACTATTTCCCACCACTACCACACCAGTACTTCTGGCCCCCCTAGCCTAAAGACCTGGCTCTTCGTGGATGACACAGGCACCTCCACACAGGGACAAACCCTTCAAACCACCCTCAGATTAATTTTAACGAGCAGCGAAAATTTAACAAGTTGAAGGTCTGTACCAACACAGACGACAACTTTTGTCGGTGATGTAACCGAGGCACCTGATCAGTGCTAGATGTTTTTTAAAAGAAAACTACAAACGCCCTTCAACATTTTGGGAGGTACCTGTGAAGCAATAGTGTGGGATACTGGCTTATGCCCAGTTAAATCCCACAGCAAGAGTCCTATAGCACAGGGCAAGAGCCCAGCCAAGCGCTCGCAATGTAAGTGTGTGGAGGGGGAAGAAATGAGAGTAGAAGTGGGGAGAAATGTGAATCCGTTTTGTTTTTCTAGCTTTTTCTTCAACTTGGCTTAAGAAGCTTGGGTTCCTTTACTCCCGTAATCTTTGTACTCAGATAGAAAGTATTTTTATGCTGAAGCTGTGATTATAGTGATGAATTATGTAGCACTTAGACAGGAAGAGAATCTGCAATAAACTACCAAAGTCCTTTAAACTGCATCAAATTGCAGGTGCTCTCATGTTTCAATCTTTCTGCAACGATCAGGCAGATGTCTGAAACAGTGCAACCTAATTTTTTTCCAGGACACCGTGGCCAGCAGATTATCTGTGAGATTGCTCCAGATGTTGCTCCTTTCACAAGGAATTCTTCACTAAAAGTTTTTAGACCTAATCAGAACTAAACCGATCTCATGAAATCTTGCATGAAGGCTTTTTTCTTTTGGCGCTTTTTTTTTATTTTTTAATTACAAAAAAACAAAAACATAAAAACAAAACAACTTTTAACAATGGCTATTGGCATCCAACTAATATTAGATTACATCAAGTAACCATATCCCTTACTCCTCAGTACCATTGCCCTCAACTGATTGGGAAGCAGACAGCAAAGAGCTGAATCTGTCCATTTTCACCGAGCAGTCTGGGAATTAAAGGTAGGTTTGAGTTCCCAGCCTAACACATGAAGCACTAAACTGCTTCCCTGCGGGGCCAGACTTATTTCCAGTCTTTCCACGGAGCACCACTTACTGTATTAAGCGTGACACAGGGCACCACCACGCCGTGTGCTTTATCGCAGGCAGAAGATGCACCAAAGCCCCAGTGCAACGGGGAGGCCTGACCTCCCTTGCTGACGTGACTCCTCTGACAAGCAGCTGGTGGACCTGGGGATTTGCAGCCTTCTGACAGACAGCCCCCGCACTGCCAGCACGACAAGGGGGCTCAGCACCACGGCTGCGGCTGACGCTGCGCAACTGCACTGCCAGGAAGGGTCAGGCTCCTCCTGGCTCTACCTGTCGCGGTGCTTAATCCATCTCTGAGCTCTGAAAGCCCATCAAAGCCCTCGAACTCATCCTTCCGACTGAGGGGAGAGCTTTAGATGGATCCCCACTGTGCCCATTCCCACACCAAAAAAAGGATTTCATTAGAAACTCAGGTCGCACTGACCAAGTTACTCCCGTTATTCCACTGCAGCCTCCTTCAACTTTCAGATTTTTCAAAAAAGGCCACCAATAAAACAGTGGGGAAAAAAGCCCAGACATGGGGCATTTGCAGAAGCTATTTCTCTGGTTTGCAACAGTAAAGAAAAGTCCTCCTGATAGAAGAGTTCTAATATTCTAAAACAGTATTTAGGCAACCAAATTATTCTGTTACTAGAGCTACTGCATTTTAAAACAATTTCTTTAATGCTTGTCATGGATGAAAAACTTTACATAGCAGGTAAATTTTAAATTTTGGGAACGTTAATCTCGTATGTGACACTTGTTAAGGAGCTAAAATTAAGCTTACTGGGAAGCTCCTCCATGATTTTATGGACTGCAGTACAGCAGTCATTGTAGGTATATAACATTTCACATGCAAGTTTAATGCATTTTTATCTAGCTTTGTAGTCAAAATTAAGCACCTAAAATTTAAAATCTGAATTGAGGTTTTTCTATTTTCTCTAGCTCTTTGGTCTGCAATTTTAAGGTGAAATTGGATATTTCGCTGTAGCTTCATGTTAGTGCCCATTTTACATCAAAGCTTTAGAAATAACTCTGAGGGCTAACTCCTGTTAGGTCATATATGAGCTTTGTACGTCCAGACTTTAAAGTCTGCTATCTTCCTTCCCCACTTTCCACCTTAGATGCATTAAGCAGTGAAAACACAGGAAAGATGTTCAAATTTATGTATTCAGTATTTCAGTATTCAGCTTCCCTCCTGTATTGACTCAGCTCTAAAAAGAAAACAGCGCGGGTTCATACTCCTTTTTATTACGGCATTCTTGAAGAATTAAATTAAACGTTCTAAGTTTTCTTCTATAATATATATATATAAAAAAAATTTCTAACACTTCTCCTCCTCCGCAATAATTAAGGTACAACCCCAGTTTAAAATCTGCAGGTACTTGATTAAGGCAGCTGGGTGACTTATATGAAATCTCATTATTCTAAAATTACATTTTGGTAAACTTTCAATTTTGTAGCTAAACAAGTTTTGATAGGTGATTTTTCAGCTGCTTCAAAGAGTGGCAAGAGAGTTAATCATTATTTTACTCACGTTAAGTAGTCCGGTGGTTCACTTGCTGATGAAAGAGAATGTGAGGAGGCAGAGAGAGTTTCTTCAAATTCTACAAAAAAAAAAGCAGAATTTTGACACTTGCGATAAACAGATTTTTAATATAGCCAAACAATACCAGCTTAATGGGCTTGAAAAAACCCTTCGGAGTTTTATTCTCACAGTAAATTACTTGGAGTAAGCTCCGTAAGTTAATAATAGGCTCACAGGGCCTCCTCCACAGTAGGCAGTGCTGGGGTTTAGAAAGAGGGCACGGCTACTTTATTCTGCAGGTTCTGGGCTACCGCAGCAGTAGCCCAAGGTCAGCTTTTCTTATTTGAAGACATGACGTGGCATCTGCACAGCAATTCAAATTACGCAGCAACAGATGTAGCTGCACAAAAGACAACAGCTTGAGATATATCTATCACTATATAGATGTATCTCCACATCCAGGTTCCAGGGAGAAATACAGTAGAAAGCTGAAGTTCTTTTCATGCCATGCTTTTATCCCTCCTTCCCTGCCAATTACAGATATCCAGAGTTAGACTTAATTTCAGCGCTCTTCTAAGCAGGAAAGTCAATAGCATTATATATGGGTTACTGGCATTCAGGCTTCAATAACCTGCAACAAAGACTCGTTCCTCATTAACATGGCAATAGTGGGTTTGAAAGTTATTTGCTCTTGTAAATTGCTCTTTTGCTCTTTTAAATGACATTATGAAAGCACAGTACGCTTAATCTCTAATCCCTCTTTTAAAAGGAATATTTCAGGAGCCTCCTATCTTTTTGCTAAATCAGAAAAATAGCTGCCATAAGGAAAAGTTAGCTAGAACAGGAAGGAACGCTCACCATTTTGGTAATCTCTCTCTGCTTATCATTTGGGGTTTTGTGGTTAAAAAAAACCACAGTCCTATATATTCTTTATTATCTTACATTGCCACTGTTTAAACACAGTATTTCTGCTAAAGCTCAGACATTCTTGATATCTGAGCTTTAAGTCATGGGGAAAAAAAAAAAGTTATCATGTGATGCACTATTCTATTCTTTTGCTTTTAATATTAGAATTATTATGTGGTACAGCAGGAGTATAAAAAGAAGTGTAAAAGTGGGAACAAAACTTGAGAGAAATGCAAACAGCAATATTAAAAGTTGTATTGTACATACTGTGACTAAACAGTTTTACTGTGAGCATTTCATTTCCAAAAATTCAAGTGCATTTGTCAGCATGGCTCAGACCATTTGAAAGGTTCAGTGTAAGCACCAACTTCAAATGTAGTACAGATTTTTCCTTCCCTAGCTGTTCAGAATTTTGTTACTGTCTTCTGGAGAAAGATGTTCATGTTTATAAATTCAAGCATGAACATTTGCAAAGAAATCCCAAGCCACGTGGACACTGTGTCGTGTGTCCAGGGTCAATGTGAAAAGACCATCTCAAAGCATCCTTATCTACAAGCACAACCACCCTGCGCAGTCCAAACATGCCTGTGGGCTGTAATACAGAACGGCTAAACACTGAAATTAGACAACACACAGATTTGACAAAGGAACTGAACCCTGCCCTAGTGTCTGTGTCTCTGTTAAGAAATCAAGTATTTTTCGTGCATTTCTGTTTAGTTTTTCAGTACTGTTTTAAGTGTGCACCATTTCTACATCTTCTGAAGCAGTAAATTCTGCAGCTAAGATGGAGTGGAGCTCACAGCACAGTTCAGACCAAAACTCCCATAAACCACATGTCAGTTCATGTGGGTTTTAGACTTTCCATGAAAAGGCAGAGGTTGATGAACCTTGTGCTGTGATACACAATGAAATAAGTTTATGTCTGATCTATGCGTTTCAGGAAACTAGCATGCAATAAACATGTGACAGGTTTTTATCGTCAGCTCACAGACTTCAAAACTTGCTGATAGAAAAAGTAGAGTAAGTTTCAGTGAACTGCCATTTTATTGGAAATCAAGCAAAAAAAAAAATCCATTCCTTGTGTTTTTCTAGCACCTAGCTCTTCCTTTTAACCAGTTTCTGCCCAACCTCAATCCATTTAAAATTTCTTTCTAATGATTTTTGTGCTGCAGAGTGACATTTCTTAAAAATGAACCTAATTTTAGATAAGGTTCCAGCAGAACAGTTTATGGGTTTTGCTGTTGCTTTTTTTTTTTTAAAAAAAAACCAACAAAACAAAACAACAAAAAAACACCCCAAAAACCCTAATAATTATAATGCAATGCAACAGCAGAAAAAAAAAAAAAGTATTGATTCTTCATGACTGTAAAGCAGGGATAATGGCAAAGCACTTAATATGTAGCAAATGAAACAACAGACAATTTGTGTTTCCAGTCCCTGGTTTTACAGGTGCCTTTCCACCAGGGTTACCCATACAGTAGCACGGAAAAACAGCGTATTAGTACCTTCATCTGAATCCAGACAGGAAGGTCTATTCAGAGTGGCTGCTGTTTCTTTTCCAAGGTCTTTCTCCTCTCCGCTCGCGCTTGCAGCGTGCTGCGTCTCGCCTTCATCCTCCGCACGCTCCTCGACCTCGTGCTGTTGGTGCAGCGCCGGATGCTTCTTGCCCGTGGACTTGCGGGACCCCCCCCACACCGCGGCAGGCCCTGGGACCCCCGAAGGAGACCGAGAGGCATGGTTTTGTCCCCGGTCTTCGGAGGACTGGCTGCCTTTCAGACTGAAGCTGTCCACCGGCCGGTTTTGTGTCCTGCACCTCTCAGCGAGGCTGGGCAAGGTGGAGCTGGCAGTTTTCGGAGGGTTGGAAGTGGGAAGGCGTGCCCTACGCATGGAGTGAGTAGAGGGAATGGAGATAGCTCCAGGGCGGGGAGGGGGCGGAGGGGCGACAGTGGTTTTCTCCCTGAAGGCAGACAAGCGGTCATGGAGCGGTGACTGGACCCCCTTGGCCAGGCGAGAGATCCTCCTCTTTTTGTTCAGGGGATCGATAAAAGAGTAAGTCAAACCCCGCTTCTGTAACAATAAAGAAAAAATAAAGTTAAAAAAAAAAAAAAAAACCAGCAGAATTAAGTTTTGCTCCCATTCTGAAAAAGGAGCATTTACGAACTGGCAAATGTTGAAAACACATCTTATCTAAAAACAGCTGTCAAACAAGGAAGTACTGCAGCTAAAAAAAACCACCACCAGTGCTAGGCATGGGTCTGCGCCACCCAGCTGAAATAAATCCAGATTCTGTGTGTGTGGAGGCAGCTGTAAAGAGGTCCCTGGGACCTGCACCATCTTCCTGCTCTGGCTGGAGGAAAGTTAGGGAGAAAACAGAGGTGTGCCCTCCCTCCCCTATAGAAACATAAATGTCAGTGGTGAAAAGACTTTCTGTACACTGCGTGCACTGAAGTGCAGTCTCAGTCACAGAAAGTATCAAGTTTTTCCTTAAAGTATTATTGCCTTCTATGCAGAGTTTTCCAAGCCTCTTCTAAAAGGGTTTGCACTGTCCTCTTGCATTGATAGGAAAAAGGACATATGCATTTTAAGTCTGAAAAGGCTGGGGGAAGGCAGAAGAAGACCTGCTGATTCAAATCTGCCTTTTCACACCTGGGCTACCTTGAATCAAAATTCCTCCAAGTGGATCACTACTGTAATTCATCTTTATTCTAGACTTTCCTAAGCTTTACATTTCAACAGTAGCATAAGGATATTTGTGCTTACTTTATGCATTATAACTACCATATCACAAAAAAACATTGAACATAAGCAACCATGTAATAAAAACATACATATCTTGTCTTTAGAAGACCGTCCCATGAACCAGGATAAACAAGCTATGTGGCAATACAAAACAGCTTAAAGTATTTAACCAGAAGGTACAGGGTTGTGTAACAATAATGGGTAACCAAGAAGCTCATCAGGCAACTTTAACCTACAGGCAAGTCTAGGCTTCTGCAAGGTCAACGTGCTATGGATGGACAGTTATGATTTAGGCCAAAGTGTCGGCTGTTCAAACACAATAGAGGTTGTCTATTGGAGATCTATGTGTATTTACAAAATACTGTGTAGATAGGAATTGTTTATTTTCCTGAATATTTTAATAAACATCCTGAAATACAGAACACTAAATTTAGCAGCCCTTAAGCTACATGACTAAGTTTTCTGCTGTCCTTGACTGTGCAACCACATTTTAAAAAAATCCAATTAGAAATAAATGCTTCAATTTTTCACGTGTTGAAGACAATATTAGTGCTTCACATCACAGGTTTTACATCAAGATAAAGCGTGATCAATCTTAATACACTGTAAATAGCGTTAAAAAAATTACAGATTACCTGAGAAGTTGATGGACTATCTTTATTAGAAGTCACAGAAGATCCCAAATGATTGGTGCTGGTGGCATCCTCAGATGGTTTTAATTTTCTGTAAGGATGACCCAACATTTCAGGTTACAAGGCAAAAATGTCTATGTCATAGTCCTTTCATGACAGGGAAGGCAGACAGTCATTTCCCAGAAAAAGTGTTTTAAATGGCAATTTTCCTTCCCCTAGAGACTGAACTTACCTAGAAAGTATTAACTCCAATGACTGTTTATCTATTTCATTGTATCCAGGCCAATCTTTTTGAATGTCTTTAAACAGATAATCCTTCAGACTGTAAGAATTATCCTTTGTATTCAGGATGGCTACCTATAGGCAGACATTTAAGAAAATAAATGTTCATTATACCTAAACGCAAATTACAGAAATAAGATTGGTACTGCAAAGCTAAATTAAAGCTGAAAACAAAATCACATACCAGTTTTCCAGATTTTTTAGATGTGAAGATCAAAGTAGCTCTCATGTAACGAGCACCAATTTTAAAAAATGCGGTCAATTTGGGATGTGGAAATTTGGAGTTAAGAGAATTCCAAAGTGCTGCAAGCATGTATGAAACGTACTTTATGAAAATCTCTCTCTGCATCATGCATCTGACGTCTTGTCTTTAATACAGCATTAGGAAACAAGACAAAACTTTATGCCAAAACTTTAAATCTTCACTGCATGAAATACACTGAGAGGTGCCTACTTGTTTATTTTTATTTCTTTTTCAGGAACTGAAAAACACTACCTGTACATACAAATTCAGATTTGTTCAACTTCAGCAGGACACCTGCTGTTCCTTTGTTTTACACAGCTATACTGTGATGGCAGAGCACAGACTGTGCCTGGAACAATGCATATTTTCCATCATCACATTAACGGCCACGGTATGTTGTCATTTGTCTTGATAAACAGAATTGCTTTTCTTTCTCAAGTGCCTAATCCACAAGAAACTACAGCTTTCTACTGAACAGTTGTATGCGATAACCTAACCAACACTAAACTACTACTTTTGGTACAAAAATGGATTATTCATCTGTCCTATTAGTTTTAAGCCATATCAAATTTTTACTGATTGGGGAAAAAAGTAACCATACTCATATCTAACAAGGTATATTTTGAAAACAGGATTTAGTGCTAAAATGGTTAAGGAAAGGTGTACAGGCCCAGATGCACTCTTCATTTTGCAGACACAGGGCTCATTGTCATGAAAGGGTCACACGCATGCCTTGCTCTATACCTCTGAAAAGAAAAAGGGGTTTCTATTTTCCTTAATACAAATACAAAGTATACTCAAAAAGGTAAAATGAGCTAGTAGAACCTTGAGATCATTGACACATAAAGTGCTGGTTTAGACTTTATCATCTGACACCTGTTCGGAGTTTCAGAGAAAACCCTGAAGGAAAAGTCTCCATTTATTCGCACAATACAAAATGCTGAACTCATCAAGACAGCACCGCCGCTTTTTGCAGCTTTGCCTATTTTTTTTCCTCCAAAACATGGTAAATACTGCAAATTCGTGTATGTGCCCATGTCTGTCTGTCCTCAGCTAAAAAAAAAAAAAAAATTAAAAGTAACAAAGGTACCCTGAAACAGTAACTCACTCGTTAAAAATCTAACTAAAGCCATATACTAAGAGAAGCAAATCCGTGCCTATTACATCTTAGCAAGTTCAGGCTGCTGATTTTAAATTTGTACCAAAAAGCCCTCATTATGGAGCTAAGAAAAATGTGAGCAAGGTTTTTCTGGGTGTAGTGCTGCTAACATGACCACTTCTGAATGCAAATCAGTATCTCGAGGTAGTTCACACCACATACAGGAAACAGACTCCAAGAAAGTCTCCTTAAACATTGCCAAGCGTAATGGAACAAGAGAAAATTTTTGCACCTTTTATCCTCTAGGGAGCTGAGCTTTTAGATTTTATAACCAACTCGAAGTATAAATTGACTACTTCAATTTGTATGTGAGAACATGGCTGTTAAATTGCGTGTCTTCAGAGTGAAAAAAAAAAAAAAAACAACCAAACTTACCATTGCACTGGGCAAACAAAGTAATAATACTTAACATATTCACGGAATGAGTTTCTAGAATTCAGTGTAAGATCAACCAAAGCTGTATAAATGTTGAATTTACCATTTTTTCCTAAATAAATAGGAAATATTCCTACTTTACATATTAATATGGGCATAATTCAGCCACAGTCTATGGATACAGGGAGTATTTAAAAAGTAAGGAGGGAGTCACTGCAACTTATGATACTTTAAGAAGCCCTTTCTGAACTGTTTTAGTAGCAAATTAGTGACACTCTCAAACACACAGCTTAGAAAGTTTTACCTGTACAACATTACAGACTTACCAATAATTTTGATGCATATGATAAAGAAATACAAGTGGAACTTAACTCAAAGGAGCACTGGAAAAACTACTGAATAAAAAAAAAGTTTCAAGTAAGATGAAGACACAGTCCACATGACAGCAAAGAAACACCATGTTCAAAATTGGACCACCACCTTTATCTTTTATGATTTGACTGGAACACCTTTCCTTGGATTGCACTTCTAACAGATCCCAAGAGAAGCCAAGGACCATTTACAGGCCACCAACCATGTCCAAATAAAATACTAACTTATGTGATTGCCAAATTTCTCTCCTCAAGCTCATCACAAAAAGTATGAAGTACTATGACAAACTATTTCACACAACTGAGAGAATGCATGGTCAGTTTCTCTCAATTAAGCAGTCCAAGTAAAAGGGAGGAAAAAATAAGACACTAGGAATAAAAAAATAAGACATTAGGAGCAAAGCTAGAAATAGTTAACTATTGCCTGTCATTCTAGCAAAACTAAAACACTCCCTAAAAATTTTTAATCTGTCTTTCCTCACATTGACTTGCAGCTTGGGGCAAAAGCTTGTTGGAAAAATTAAACAAGAAGGATTACAAAAGTTGTTGATTATTTTCTAACTTAAGCACTGAGGTAAGACAGCTCAAAACTACAATTAACAGAATAGCAGGAGGGGAAAATCGCTGGCCCAAACTCCATGATCTCACCTGCTGAAGGATCATTCCAAGGCAGTCCTTGTCCTTTTGGTTGACACCATCTTTCTGCAAGCGAGTGAGTAGCTCTGGTTTCTTGTAACTCTTCAGTGCCAGTAAGTGAATCACCCGGTCCCTGTACGGCCGCTGAGTAACAGCACTCTGTGTGTGAACCCTCCGTACTGTGCTTGCAGGGTTCATGGGCATAGATCTCTTCCTCACAGGCACAGGATCTGGAACGTTTTGTGGTACTCTTCTGACCTGTGCTTTTCTTCCTACAGTAAGGGTAAAAGACAAAAAAAAAAAAAAAAAAAGTGACATGGGAGGTTGGCAGAAGACAAGGAAGTTGATTTAAAAGAATTTACCAAGACAGAAAAACTCTAAAAACTGTAGTTAGTTAGCATTTCAAATCTGCAATAATACAGGTAATGAAGATGCTTCAAGGCATTAATGAAGAAATACTCAATATTAAAAAAAGCTGGTGAGTGATTGATACTGGTAGGAAGACTTTACTGATTACTTATATAGATGGTTCTTTTATTATTTTTCCAGTTTATAAGCTCAAGCACTGAATACCCAAAATCAGGCATTTTTTAAAGAAGTGTACTCTAAAGTGTGATGCAATGGTCTTCCATATGACTAAAAGATTCTCCATTAATGCCTAGGGAGACCAAGGCTACACACTGAATCACATCACTGCTTAAAGAAACTACCAACACTTGGTGTTAATCACTTTTGAGTTACCATAAGTTACACCACATTTTAAGCTGAAATAAACGCTCCCCTCTCACTAAATAACCCCAGGCTTGTCAGAAACAATACGCCAAAAATTTAACAATTCTTGGGACCAGGGCTAGAGAAGTTTTAAAGCATGGTCTGCACAGCATTTTGGTTCAAACTCCATAAAAAATATGTGTTTCTCAACTGGAGAAACAATGCAAGTGTTTGCAAGCAATGCATCCACATTAAAAATAACACTACCCAACACGAATCTCAGTTTTCCAGAAGAAGACTCGAACTTCTCTACTCTGTGTTTTTAAATAGGATTTGCTATCAGGCGGGGGGGGGGGGGAAGATTTATCAGAATATAACAAAAAAATCATTGTAGTAAATACTGTTTGCAATCCAACAAAGAATGTGACACAGACCAGGCATTTTTTCTGAAACCAAAACCTCATGTTTAGTACATGAGGAAGACTTAATGGGTATGGGTGAGAAAATCTGGAGCTTGGTCTCTTGGATCAGACACACAGAGACTGAGCCGTGCTTATAATACTGCTTGTCCTCGGGAATGTCAGAAATTTGTTTCTATTTTACAGTGGAGGCCAAACCTTTATAACCTTCCCACCTTGAATATTCCCTGGACTTTGCCCTTCTGTTTTTTTGAGAACAAACCTAATCACGCAAACACACACATTTACACTTTTAGAACAGTATGAACTCACCAGCTGTTTATTGAACGCATTACAAACGTTTTGACAAGTTAAATTCAGTGCAGATACACAAACCTCTGGCACAGCCCATGCGTAAGCAGCATTTAAACAAAACACCTCAAAGTCATGTCTCTGAATCACTTAAAAAAAAAAAGGTAACTGAAAACATAACCAAGCATTAACATGATTGGCAACCGCAGTTCCTAATTTGTGCTGCACGAAGCACGGTGCAAAGTCACCCCTGTACCCTGCCAGCAGCTAGACCTGTCCCACCTGGCCTTCCTCAACGCCAGTCTGAAACAGAAGGACCCCCAGATACCATAACTGTCCTACTGCCCATCTTCAGACCCCATTCATTTACTGCTACATACTCGCTTAAGATCCCTTTAAACCACCAACAGGCGTCACGCAGATCATTCACATGTAAACTCGAACTTCCCCAGCGAGAAGTTCTGAAATACATGAAAGTGGCTCCCCCCACGCCGCTGCTAAAGAACAGTTTGGACAGCACAGGAGCAGCACTCCCAGTCCCGTGCCCTGGTGTCAACCCGCGCCGAGCTCCCTTAGCATCAAGGCCACACACACCTAGCTCTGTATCTGCAAAAAAAAAAGCCGTGGTGACGCTGGCTTAAAATGCCCTGCAGTATGTTGAGGCAGAGCAAGCGCTGCAGCGTCGCTGTCAGGGGCACCGGGGCGGGCGGAGGGCTGCAGCCACAGCCGAGGGAGAGCCTGTTGCACTTAATGAAGGTGGAGGTACCTGGTTTAGCTCGCTGCTGTGGGCAGGACCGCCGCTGCCTATACCAGCCACTGCCCATAAGGTGGGTGCTCGCCTCACATCTATCTGCAGCTGGCCCTGGGCTCCTCGGGGAAACGGTACTCACAGCTGCTGAATAATGGACCGTACCACCTAAACTCGTTTTGCTTTGTGGAAAATGAGGAAATCCATGGGAAGATGCCACCGTTACCTTACTTTAACTTTAAAAAAAAAAAAACAAACACCCAAACACAAATGAAAAAAAAAAAAAAAAAAAAACAAAACCCAAAGACAACCCCCCCCAAAGACAAAGAAACCAACCCCCCCAAAGACAAACAACCCCCCCAACAACCCTCCCCAAAGACAAACCCCCCCAAAGACAAACAAACCCCCCCCAAAGACAAACAAACCCCCCAAAGACAAACAACCCCCCCAAAGACAAACAAACAACCCCCCCCAAAGACAAACAAACAACCCCCCCAAAGACAAACAAACCCCCCCAAAGACAAACAAACCAACCTCCCCAAAGACAAACAAACCCCCTAACGACAAACAAACCCCCTAACGACAAACAAACCCCCTAACGACAAACAAACCCCCTAACGACAAACAAACAAAACCCCCCCAAAGACAAACAAACCCCCCTAAAGACAAATAACCCTCCCCAACGACAAACAAACCCCCCCAAAGACAAACAACCCCCCCAAAGACAAACAAAACACCCCCAAAGACAAACAAACAAAACACCCCCAAAGACAAACAAAATAACCCCAAAGACAAACAAACAAAAAAAATAGAAACAAAGAAACAAAAAAGAAAGAAAAACAAGCAAAAAACCATAAACCGAACACCCCCAAAACCAACACCACCAAAAAAAAAACCCAAACAAACAAACCCAAACAAAAAACCCCAAACCATGGTCTTGTGGTAGCAGTTGCTTACTGATGTCCAAGACATAAAAGTTAATAAAATTGAATCAGCATTAGCAAGTGTGAAAGTGAAGTTTTCCCTATTAAGCTTTTGAGTTTGTATATGAGACTTCCTCAGTAATAATTCTTTTTTTTTTTTTTTTGTGGTTTACAAATTAAGACTAATGGTTTAACACAGTATTTAGGTACTCAAAAGTGCTGTTACAAAAACAAAACATTAGCTACTAAACCAGAGAACCTCAGTGCATGGGGTGGTATAAATGCTCACCTTAATGATCAAAACTTCAACCAGTCAAGCAATATGGGAACAAGGAATGACTGGCAGGCTTTCTGGGGGAAAAATGGTTCATTTCTGAAGGCAGCCACAGAGGATTGTAAATCTGTAATGTGAGCGCAAGCTATCTGCACCTGAATTCTCTGAACACACCACCTTCCCCAAGAATATGCTGAAAAGATGAATTACTGAGTTTAAAAACTTAGACATCTAGTAAAAAATTAAATACCACCATACCTAAAAATGGTCCACCAGGTCTAGTAACCTTTGCACTTCCACTGCGCGACTCCTCTTCTGTCTGGGTCATGTGATCTTTGGACGTCACATAGGAACCAGTTCCACACACCGTAATTTTATTCTGTATAAATCCCAGGCAACAATGTTGCGAGGCTCCAAAACTACAAAAACATTGAAAAAGGTTGAGCCCAACCAAGCACCAGTTCACGTTTAGAAGTACGGTTGTGTCTGGAACTTTAAAAACCTGTCTTAACAGGAAAAGAAAAACGTTTTCCAGTTCTGACAGCTAGCTCGGGCGCAGATATATTTCAAATCGCCTCTGTACGTCCGAATTGTGTCAGTTTTACCCGTCTGCTTAATTGCAGTTTGCTCGTGTGACTGCGCTGGAGAAGCAGGCTCAGGGCAGTGTTGGTGGGTCTGCTGGCGATTGCTGCAACCACCGGTACAGGGACAGCTCGGGCACCGCAACGGTGGGAAGGTTCCGTCCCGGGGAGGCTTTTCTCTGGCTGCCTGGCTCTCAGCTCAGCACACTTCTCCTCTCCTCTCCCCCCCCGAGGTGGCTAGTGGTGGCCCAGGGAGGGCAAGCCCGTCTCCCCCCATCTTCCTCCCAAAGACGCCCACCCTCATCGTCGCCCGCCGTGCACCTTCGGCAGCGCCGAGGAGCGCTTGGGGCCACCCGCCCGGCTGCGTCGAGGACGCGCGTTGGAGGAGGGGGGAGCACTTAGAGCAAAACCCTCCTCGAGGGGAAGGACCCTGAGGTCTCCTCAGCGGCAGCAGGGTGGGCGCTGGGCTTCAGGAGCCCTTTCTGGAGGAGCTGGCCCTCCGTGGTCAGTCTGAACTCCAGTGCCTGCAGCGCGCTGCGCCCTTCGAGCAGCCGCTTCCTTCAGACTGGCCTAACGACCGCTGCCCTTAATGAGCGCGCTGTGCGGCGCCTGCCGCTGTAACAGCTCTGACCAGAGAGAGGACACCAGCCTCAGCTCACCTGAAAACACTTCGGCCACTCTAGAACTCCCCATCCAGCCTCAAAGATAAAAGGTCAAGGATCTCATGACTCAATTTACCACGTCATTTCTGAGAGTCAAAGCTGGACCAAGCTACTGACAAGTATTTCAAGATGATACAGCTACAGTTCTGTCCATAGCCTAGAGCTATGTATTGATTCCTTGCTCCGAAATCACCACATTTACAACAGAAATAAAGGTCCTTCTTGCCATCTAAAACACAGCTTTTACCCTTTGCCCGCTTACTTAAACGTCACTGCTTTTATGCGCTTCACCACAGGAACAGTCGAGCACTGACTGAGACACTGTGTAATCCCCCCCTCCTCGGGCTGGGCATTTTCAAAACCCAAGCCTGTTTTGAAGCTAGACCTGCCTTGAGCACAGAATTAGAGTAGACACCCCGTAAAGGTCCTTTTTGGTTTTATTTTTTTTAAGCGACTCTGCGTGTCACACCACACAAGTTTTGCATCAACTTCGCAGGCACTTTGCACAAACCGAGAGCTGGCTACAAACAACCTCACGAAAGCTAGTCTGAAGTAGATTTTGAAGACGATTAGTAAAACCACATTAAAACCACCTAGGCACGCTATTCGGAATTATTCAGAGCTGAAGCAGCTTAAATTTAATCATACCTAAAAAACACATTTTAATTCAACCGAAGGTATTCCTTCCTAAATAAGGGAGTGCCCTCAGAGATGCTCATGAGAGGCAAGCCAGGAGCGGAGGCAGGACCTCTCATTCTCAGCACACACTCCTGCAGCATGCTTTATACCAGCCCTGGCAGCTGTCTGTCCCCTTTCAGTTACAGTTTAATCAAACAAAAACCCCCAAAACACCACACTGCCCCAGGCTCGCCCAGCTCTGCCACTAAACCATTCGGCATTTTGCCAATCCCATCAGTTAAATGAGCTCACTTGAAAGGTTGCATTGTAGTAGAAGAGACAATGCAAGGGGAGAAAGAGAAGGATGAGGATGCTGAGAGATCTCCTGCTAGGCAAAGAGCTATTAAATCAGCTCATTTGCTTATTGCTCCCAAAACCCACTATCTAGACAAATCTCTGTTCTGAAATTGAGGGCAGAAGCTCTCCTGTGACTGAAAACCTGAGCAGCGCCTTTCGGAGACGCGTCCATGTGCCTGTCTGCTATCAACTTCCCAGATCAATACACAAACTCTGCCTATGATGTCCTAGTTAATCAAATGGGACAAATAGTTATTCAACACCACTGGACTACATCGATACTACGCTGAACATAATATTCCAGAAGCTGAAGCAAACTTGTTGTAAAAGCACAGTATTTTCTTGCCTTTTCGGTAGATGTTAACACGGTTCACTTCGTCTCAAAGGACCAGGACAAGGCACTGCTGCATTACCTTTGGGTTCTGAAGCACCATGGTCATGAAATTATGGATAAGGTCACTGATGTATGTGGTTCTTAAAATAAGATGACTATCCATCACAGCCACCATGCTAGCATGCTGGCAGCCATAGCCATGTTTACATAAGGTTGTAAAATGGATCTGGTCTAGCTTGGATGATGCCAGACTCTAATTGCTTTTAAAAATAGCATGAATAGGTGAGAAAGTACTCAAAAGGTTACTTTAAGAGCGAACCCCAAAAGAATTCTAGGTAAAAGCAAGTATTTATAATTAGCAAGAAATCATGCTGTTGCTGGGAATTAATTTTCTACTGCAGCTCATCACTAGGAGCATGCTTCTGTTAAAGGTTTTTGCTATATGGTCAAAGCCAGAAAATCTACTTAAATTTGCCATGAAAGAAAACATTAAGTACAACTTACCTCGGGTCCATTTGCTGGACACAGTCAACTCTTCCCTGAGGATTCTCTTTGCCAATATTTGACAACTGGAAGTTAAATGTATTCACTTCATTTGGCAGATCAACTTTGGGAATTTTAATAAGCTAAAAGAAAAAAAAAGTTTATGTAAAAACTTTGATCTGCAGTCCTTTGCCTGCAATTAACTAGGACCATAATTTTAAAATGGGAAACTGTATTTCAACAGTTTTAGTACTATTTCAGTCACGTCACTAAAAAAGCTGCTTTGCCAGAATCCTACCTCTGAAAGCAGCGCTGGCCACGTGTCTGTCACAGCAGTAACAGCACTGGAAAAGCTACTGTCACTCAGCCTCTAACTCAGCAAAGCATTTAAGTAGCAAGTCATCCTTTCCAATTTAGTGGAACTAATATGCACATGCTTAACTTTAAATGCAAGCGCCTGAGTATAATCAAACAGACTGAAGCTCAGCTGACAAAACAGACGAGAGAAACTCCCACACACTGCATCGGACACTGCCCCAGCATTGTGATTTATTTGGTCTTAAATGAAGCACACATGGGAGCCGGCTCCAAGAAGGGGGCTAAAAAAAAAAAAAAGGCAAAACAACCCAAAACAAAACAAAACCAAACCAAACCAGCAACACACAAAACTACAAGAGTAAAACTTCTTAAACTATAAAAGATTAATTTAAATTCCAACAGGTGCTAAAAGCATTTTTCTTTTAATCAGCTCTAGATGCAATAATTTGCATAAATGTGAAATGTAAATAGTTTTTTGTAAGCCTAGTAGGATCTAACAAAATTTGATTCCTTGGCTGAACTAATCACTTAGTACAGAGTGTGCTGCATTCTGCTGGAGCTTAAAAATGTAAATATGAGAAATCATTAAAATGTTTATTGGCATAAGCATATTTTTCATGTGCTGCTATACAAAACAATAGTGAAGCACAAAAAACCTACTGCCATCCAACTACTTATTCTGAGCATAAAATTAGCTTGCAGCAAATCTAAACAGCTATTATTCTCAAATTTGCTTGAATTTTTAATGGAATATTGAATACAACTGACAAAGAAAGACAAGTTCAGTAGTCTCTTAGAAATCTTTCTCTCAGTATTTTGCTTGTGAGATTGCCCGGTCTTCATAAACGTCAACATCATTTGCACAGAGTGCTACTATAAAACCATTCCCTTACCATTTATATTTTAATTGTCAGTACTGGCAGAGTTTACCAACAGCCTGGGACAGTGACTGGACATGAAGGAGGAAGACAAGTCACCTGAACACCATATTCTTTTACTTAAGCTTAAAGTACTAGTACACTTAAAAGATCAATCTGTGCACCCTGTGTAAAAATGGAAATAAATTGGTTAAGTTGCCAAAGACATCATCTTGGATTTTATAGGTATCTTTACCTTCTAATGATTATAAAAGTTACCATTATAATGGTAACTTTTATTATTTTATATAATAAGTTACCATAATGATTATAAGAGTAACCATCAACCTAAGATGACCACAGAGGCCTAAATGACACTAAAATTCATCTACATTCTATAAAATTAACTATGACTGATTGAATGTTTCAGCATACCGGTTTTAATATTAACACAGCAGGTGAGTATGTATGAATTTGACAATTTGAACTTAACCCACTGTACAAGAGCTAATGTTTTTTGGTCTGATATACTTTTTTAAAAGCCAATAAATATATACTCTGATTGACCTAAGGCTGGCCCTCAATAAATACAGGTGAGCAGAGAAAAGCAGGCAACTGTTGCTGTGTATGCTTGGACTTCATTCTCAAAGCTGATTTTGAGCAAATCTTTATTTCCATTGATCAGCCTAAAGAATGTATGTGCATGAAATCGCCTTAAACATTAGGAATTTCTGTACCTTAATATGCATATTTAAAATTCTGGAAGAATTGCCATAGCAGTTGCCAGGGTGTATGGCAAGCCACAGAGTGGCTCGAAGCGTTCTGACACAGTAACTTTGCAGAGAGAAGCCAGTCATGGAGCACACTTACAAGCACATTGTTGCTGTTCCACTAGCTTCAGCAAGGTCTTTTTTCTTCCAAATATTGAAAAACACACTGATAAAATACGGAGGAAACCAAATCTGTCATCTTACAGGCAGATGCCCAAGAACCTTATTGCAGACTCAAATGGGAACACTGAATGTTTTAAAGCTTCCCCCCAAGACATACAAACTTTGTGAGAAAGACACCAAAGGTCATGAGGGAACCAGCTACTTCAACCACCGTGACAGGTTTCTTTTTTTGCTTTTTGTAAAACTTGTTGTATTTATTATTCCATTAAATATTCAAGCAAATTTCAGAATAGCAGCTTTTTAGGTTTACTGCAAGCTAATTTTACGCTCAGAATAAGTACTGATGGCAGTAGTTTTTTTGTGCTTTTCTCATCCAAAGAAACAACTGTGTTACTTTCCTGAAGGCTGCTGAGAAGCCAGGCAGCAGTGGGAAGGGCAGTGAGGACTGCATGTGCTGGGTGGGATATACAGGGGAGCTCGCACTCTTTGCATGAGCAAAGAAAAGGCCTAGAAATTTACTTTCTTCCTCAAATGTTTAGGATATATTTTTCCACAAACATCAGAAGAACAAGACGACCATTACTCAGGCATTCATTAATTTGGATGAACAGAATGCAGGAATGGTGGGGGAATATTTCTCTGCTAGAAGATTTCAAAAGTGGTAGTGCACCTAAACTGAGAATAAAAAGCTAACTCTCTCATCCTCAGTTCCAAAGTTTTAGTACGTAATCTGTAATGCAGCAGACAACCTTTTCATTTTTGTGAACTTTTTTGGGGATCCATTCAGAATATCCACAGAGCCAAAAGCTTTGTCCCTCAAACAAACAAATTTAGTGAAGTCTGTCATAATTCAGATAACCCAGTGTATTAAACTTGGGATAAGCTCTGAGTGAAAAAAAAAAAAAAAAAATGACATTTTAAGTTATATAAAATGCAATTAAATCAGATAAGCCTATTTCCCATTTTATGGTTCAAAAGTGAAAGCCCAAACATTTATGAAACGGAATGTACAATAATTATTGAATCTGTGGGTAACACAAAGCTGGCAGGCACAAAAATGCATGCGTTAAAATTCATATCAGTCTTCAAAAACTGGAACGGAGGTCTAAAACCAGGTGTACAGTACCCTCCAAAGGGGCTGTGCAAGGTACCTCATTTGGAGTAAGAGCCCAACACGGGGAAGCAGCCGTATGGAAAACGATCTGCAGGTTACAGTCGAACGCCCAGCCGCCGCAGGCGCACAGCATCACGCTTTTGGGGGGGCTGGGGTGCACCAACGTGACCACAGCACCAAGGGACAGCAGGCTGAACTGCAGGGCGATGGCGTGAGACTCGGCTTTCCGGCTCGACAGAGGTTTCCACCACCTTTCCCCCCCCCCACCCCGTCACACACCAGTGCCCCAGAGAAGCACGGTGCTTCAGCAGCCAGCTCGGCACCGCAGACCCCAGCCCCCACGCACTGTCCTCCAAACACCACCCACCAGCTCCCTGCTTCTTTGCAAAGACAACCTCATCCCCTGATAAATCAAGTAAAAACTTATCTTAGAGTCACGCTTTTAAAGCCTGGGGTTCTTGCTAGGCAATATGCAGCCTAGTAAGTATTCCTAAAATATTAACACATTTTCAGCAACCTAGAGAAAACAATACTTGAACCACATAAACTTGCTAACAACAAGTAGGTTTGCAAAAACTACTGTCACCTCAAACCCTTAAGACAAAGTTTTACTGCTGTTGACATATTTGCCATTTCTTTCTGTATCTTGCAAGACAAAATAACACTAAGTAGTTTATGGACTCAGCAACTTCTGCAAATAAGCCCCTTCTTTTAAATAAGCAGTCCTATTTTTACATTGTAAATTTATATTATATAGTTCTGAAAACTTCCAATAGGCAGTTCAAAGATTTTCAGCTTAATCAGAATTAAGATACTCAGCTTGAGATAAGCACAGTGGTATAAAGTTTGGTTTTCTTATTCGAGTGATACTTGCAGAAGAAGGTCAAAGAGCCATTATTAAGAAAGTACTCATTGCAATGACATTAATCCATAATAGAAAATAAACTTTTGTTTGCATCAGGAAGCAGCGCAGCAAGCCCACTGTCAGCACATTTGTTTTGGAAAAGCTGTTTTTGATTTGTATTCAACCTTCCACAGATAAAGAGCATCCTGGCTGGTACACAGTGTGCAATGCATTGAAAAGGAATTTGCTATATTCTCTCACAGCCAAGAGGGAAATTTCTGAGCAGCAACCCCCCATCATTATTTATAGCCGATCTACACTCTTCTTCCAGAAACAGCGAAGTCCTTCATACAATCCTTCACCACATCTACCATATCCTCACCAGCAGAAAACTGAATGGGGCAGTGAAAGGAGAGGAGAAAGCCCTGTAGAGAAGCTGTCTGTTTGCATACCTTATCCAGAGAGCCACCCCGGTGTCCAGACAAGGCAGAGGAGGTGTAGATGAACACAGCTCACAACAATGTCTTCCCCTGGCTTAGGCACCATCCTAACGCATTCTTCCCTTCACATTGCCCATCTTCAAACACGTTAACTGGCCTGAGTTGGCAAGTCCACTGCCTACACCCTCCCCAGAATATCTACTGTCACATTTTCCTCCTCACACGCCCAGACACACTGATCCTTGCACGTACTTCTTTCCCCATCTATGTGAGAAGCCTGTCACGTGAAATACTCTTTCCACCACCAGAAGATGGATCCACACAGGCGGCTGTGCTAAACCCTGCCCCGGCTCCCCCGTACACCCCACCCACCACACGCAGCCCCCACTGCCCTTCCACCGCCGCCCGGCCGCTCGGCAGCTTTCAGGCAAGTGACCCAGATTCAGCCAACACCCAGCTCGGGTCTTAATACCCGTCTTACCTGCTACCTTCTAGCTAAGCCCACAATAGATCAACACTCAAAGAACATCAGTGATCTGGTTCGTAAGATAACTTAACACAGATAAATTGTGATGGACAGGGATTTACAAAGCAGTAAATAATGCCTACTCATGCATAAGAGTCTCAGCATCCCTGCAGTGCTATCAGTACCACCCACATGTGCTTCTCCTGCACGG